ACACAAAGTCACATGTCAGATTCATCACTTCACAATATCTCATCACTTGTGATATTCATTACATTGTAACATACTTCACTTGTAATCTTCTTTTTCTCCATAATACAACATAGTCTTAGTCCACTCGGCAGACCGACTGATTAGTCCGACCGACTAAGCGCCCTACTACTTGCTCACTATATACGTATTTGAAGCGTAGTCTTGACCCTTGATCCAATTTACACTATCATTGGCGCCATCTGTGGGGACCGATGAGTCACTCTGTTTGTTCTCACCACTCCTTTTCTTCACCAAATACTCTACATTGCTTAGTTGAAGTGGTAAACAACAGGAGAAGTCGGAGCCAAAGCCTCATGCAAAGTGAAAGCTCAGCCCACCAGGTTGAAGGTCACCTCGACAATATGGCCAAAATGCTTCAAGAAGGCGATCTGCGACGACAGTTGGACCGTTCGAGAGGTCAAGTGAACAACCTCGCTTCCAACTATGCAGGACAAACCGTGCGCCCTACCCGGCAGGATAACCAACCAGTCGATATGATTACAGTCCATCTAATCGTCTCGGTACCTCGGAATGGCATTCCTAGTCCTAACATCCAAGTACCAGTGGCTTATACCATGTTATCCTCAACACTGTGCGGGTTAGGAGGGGCTACAATGCAATATCAGCTTGGGGTTACACAACAAGATGTATAGTATCCACCACAAGGATTTGCCCAAACGTATCAACTATAGTTCGGGACCCTCGTGTACTACTTTGTAGCATATATTCCTCAAATCCCAATTGCAGAGCAGTAACAACTAGCCACACAACATGTCCAACAACCGTACATGCAACCCCATAATCACAACCCGGAGGAAAGAAAAGTGGCAGACCGATCATGAAGACCTAATCAGAAAGGATGTGGAGATCACTGACAACTCGACGTCACTCAACGAAGAAGTGTTTTTGACTGAATTTGAAAAATTGTCAAGTCCCAGCTAGGCCCCCAAGACAACCGAAGCCACTCAAAGTTGAAGTCTTGAAGGACTATAGAGCGAAGGGTAGCAACATGAGAAGAGTAGTCGGTCGGCCGGTCGACTACGTGTAGGGAATCTTTCAAGTCGACTGTTTGATCAAGTTCATCCGCCGCTCGTCCCTAACATTAAAATTTATTTTGGACGAGTGACTATTCTCGGCCCTACTTGTTAAAGCTTTGATTGGTCAAGCATTCCCGGCCCTGCCTGTAATGATTTTGCCCGGTTGACTACAGAAAAAAAAAAATCCAGGTCTTTTTGCTTGAGGTTTCACCCGATTGATTTATCCCAGGCCTACCTGCACGGTTTTGTCCGGTCGAGTATGAGATTAAGTTCACTTGTTGTCCACAACCTTTCCTTTTGAGGTTTCGCCCAGTTGATTTATTGCGACTCTACCTGCACGGTCTTGCCCAGTCGAGTATGTGATTAATTTCACTTTTTTTTCCCGGCCTTTCCATTTGAAGTTTTGCTCGGTTGACCGATCCCAGTCTTACCTGCATGGTCTTGCCCAGTCGAGTGTGTGATCTTAAGTTCACTTGTTGTCTCCCGACCTTTCTATTCGAGGTTTCTCCTAGTTGATTGATCCCGACTCTACCTGTACGATCTTGCCCGGTTGAGTATGTGATTAAGTTCACTTGTTGTCTCTAGCCTTTCCGTTTGAGGTTTCACTCGGTTGATTGATCCTGGCCCTACTTGAACGGTCGGTCTGCTACGTGGCCTACTTTGCAAGTTGGAGGACTTAGCTTACTCTACAAGTAAAGGAGATCTACTTGTGCATGCAAGGAAGGCGACTGAAAGTGTGTAGGAATGATGACTCTATCGCCTAAGCAATCAATCTACGTGTAGCTGTAGAGTGACCGACTGAGCAGACCAACGAGAGCGCACCACATCAATCCACTTGCATATGGAGCATTAAATGCTTAGCTGACCTACTTAGTATAAATATGGGGATCCTCCCCTCAGTTGTGATATCCAATGTATTATTACGCAAAGTCACATGTTAGATTCATCACATCGCTTTATCACATCACTTGTGATATTCACTACATTGTAACCTACTTCACTTGTAATTTTCTTCTTCTCCATAATGCAACATAGCCTTAGTCCACCCGGTCATCACTCGGCAGACCGACTGATCGGTCCAAACTACCGACTGACTAAGCGCCCTTCTACTTGCTCACTATATACGTATTCATAGCGTAATCTTGACCCCCCGATCCAATTTACACTATCACCAACCACTAATGAAAAAAAAAATTAAAACCAATTAAATGTTGCCAAGTCAGGAAGTAAAGAATGCAGGGAAAATAAATTAGGTGTACTATTGTTTTAGTCAATTTTTTTGTTGGACATGTATGATATAGGAGCCAACATTATTTTGAGCATTTTATTTTAATTCAATTAATATAATAAATAAATATTTTATTTATTTTATTATGGCTTTATTAATATTTGATATTATACCATACAATCTTCATAATTCTTTATTCTTAAGAATTAAGAATTTGAGTGACGAAGAATTAATTAATGAAGAATTATTGTAAAATGGTCCTAGCCTTTGGGCATTAGAATTTCGATAAGACTAACACATTGTTCTACTTATGGTAAGTGTCATGCAATTCCGTATGAGATACGATCGGAGAGTGGATATGTGAGTGCTTGTTAGAGAACAAGTCATTGAACCATAACTTACAATGACGTACTGCATGATGTTTACCTATATGTCATTGGTATGTTGAATGTTACAAGTATGCAAGGTGAGGCAATGTGACATCAACATAGTCCATCAAATTCTGTCCACACAAGAAAGGAACCATCTAGGTCTTACAGAATAAATAATTCTTGGGGAAATGACACTGTTAGTCTCCCAATTATGAGCAAAGTATAGATTTAGTTTCTCAATTATTTGTGAAGTATATTTAGTCCTTCACTTATTATCAAAGTGACAAATTTAGTCCTTAAAGGATCAAATCATCCACTTTATTAAGTGATATATTGGTGGCATAAATAGTCATTGAGGGACCAAATTTTCCACGTTGACAATAATAATTGAGGGACCAAATCTACACTTGAAATAAATGAAGGATTAAATTCATACTTTGGTTATAACTGAGGTACTAAAAATGTCATTTTCTCATAATTCTTTGATGTCAACTTTAAGGAGACAATGGTGTGCTTATGGAAGAGTGTTTGTAATAGCAATTGAAGCAAAACTTGAAACGACAGTACTTGTATTAATGACATATGTGACTGGCATGTGTGGAGGATAAATAGTAGCCTTGGTCGATATGTTGATCATGGGAGAGGTGTTGTGCTAATGGGGTAGCCATGCAAGTCGTTGATAAAGGAGGTTGAAAGAGAGCGACGACGACAAAGAAAAAAAAAAAAGAGGGTTCATGATCTGTAACTCAGTTTTGAAACCGATACCATATGAAAGTATGTAGAAAGGGGTTTTCTATGTATTAATTTTGTAATTATATATAATGTATATATGGGGAACATGCATAGGCCTTCATAGGAATACAAACCCTAGTACGAATACTGAAATACAATCAAACTCAATTATTTGATATATGCTACATTCCTTATGCAAATAGTATTCCTAATAATGAATATCATATCAATTAATTACAAAGATTTTACTTAACAAAAGAGGGACCAGTAAGCTAGCTTTAAATAAATGTAATTTTTTTTGGGGGTGGGGGTAGGGGGGGGGGGGAGGGGGAGGGGGTACTCAGTTACACTAGCTTCTCCTCTCTGTTGAAACCAATAGCTCACGGTTTTTCCTCAGGTCATCTATTGAACTCAATCCATTCGCACTTTTTCCTCGGCGCCACTTTAGCCAACCAGTCAACGACGTTATTTTGTTCACGTGGTATGTGAGCAATGGTGATTGTCCAATCCTTCTCGAGTCATTCCTTACTCCAAGACACAAGAGTTCCACATTGGCCCAAAGGTTCTACGCCACCCGAGAGCCAATCTACCACTTGTTGCAAGTCGCTTAACAAGCTTTCTCACACCATGATCCCAAGCCCACTTGATGCCTAAATATGCTGCCCAAAGTTCTCCCTCCATGGCATTACATGTTTTTGTCATACAGCTAATTAAAGCCCCCAAGCCAATCCCCATTGTGGTTGCGCATGAGTCCGCCGCAACAAGTAGGGAGATCTACCGAGATGAAGGAAGCGTCCGTGTGTAGTGCAATCCAGCCGTTCTTCAGCGTGCTGCTTCCTCTCTCCTTTACTGGTTGTATATATTTTGTGATATATGAAAAATTTTAAAGTAACAATCAACACTATATTGTTCTAAAAAAAACAATCAACACTATACTCGTAGAATTATACTCAATACAATCACTTGTGATATATATAATAGTATTAGGTACAATTAATCCTAATGCCAATTGAAACTGAAAAAATTTCACTTAGGGCCAAACATCAATCTATTACGATCAATAACGGATTGAAAATTGAATAATCGATAGTTATTTTTTAATCTTCATAACTGACCAAAACCAACCGATAATATAAATATAACCGACTAAAAATCAATGTTCGATTTCCGATCGATTACTAAAAAATTGAAGGTTATAATCCATCTAAAATATTTCATTACGTCAGACAAAACATTAAAATTAGTTATGACCTAAATCCTAAATAATATATATATATATATATATATATATATATATATATATATATATATATATATTATTCAGTAACCACAATTTTTTAATTTCCATAACCAGCTAATAGTCGATTCAATGAATAATTAAAATTTTTAAAACGTAATAATCAATAATCGACCAAAAAACTAAAATTTTTAATTAGTACACAAAATTTTTTTTTTTTTTGAAGAGATAATACACAACTATTATTTATCAATTTTTCGATAATTATGCTCGCCCTAATTTCACTAACTTTAACATAACCTACTTTGGGGCTCTGCCCCTGACCCGGTATAGATTATTCTTACCTTACAAATTATTTTCGCCTTTGCAACAGTACCTTTTCACCGTAGATGTGGAAATTCCCAGGCATATCAATTCTCCTATGCAATTCAAGATCAGAAGTCACAACATAAATGGCCGCCAACATTCCCCAAATTCAAACAAACCTGTAAATCCGATGATCACTACGAAGCTCCACACCGCTCTCAAACTCCCCAAACGCTGTTCTCTCCCATCTCTCCCCACTCTCTTGAAGAGTGGATTCACTCCAACTCTCGGAGACTTCAACCAATTCCTTCTCTTCCTTTCCCGAACCAAAAGATTCAGTGCAATAACTCACTTTATCTTCCAAATGCGGTCAAACAAGCTTAAAGGGAACTCGCGAACTCACGCAATCCTCACCACGGCGCTCCTCAGAGATAAAAAATTTGAAGAAGCAGCTCTGTTTGCGAAGACCCAAATTGTGAAATCTCCCAACAGCTCTCACCGGAGTCAAATCTTGGATTGTCTAGTTCAGGGCCTCTGCATTACTGAGCCTGAAATGGCGCTATCTGTTCTGCGGGATTGCTTGAGAATTGATGGTGTTGTACCTTCTTCTTATACTCTTTGCTCATTACTTTACCGTCTTTGCTCTTTTGGAATGATGGATGGAGCTACTCAGGTGTTAGAGTTGATGAGTGATGAGAGAATCAATTACCCTTTTGATAATTTTGTATGTAGTTATGTAATTTCTGCTTTTGTGAGTGTTGGCAAGCCTGAACTTGCAGTTAGGTTCTATAGTAATGCTGTAAAGTCGGGCTCTTTGAAGCCTAATGTTATTACTTGTACATCTGTAATGAGTGCATACTGTAGATTAGGTAGAGTAAAAGAAGTCTATAGTTTGGTAGATATGTTGGGGAGAAATGGGTTAGAATTAGATGGTGTGTTTTACAGTAATTGGATTCATGGGTACTTTAGTGAAGGGATGATTCAGGATGCTTTAGAACGATACAAAGAAATGGTGGAGGGATGCATTGAATTGGATACTATATGTTATACAATACTTATAGATGGGTTTTCAAAAGAAGGGATTGTGGAGAAAGCTGTAGGGTTCTTGTACAAGATGAGAAAGGATGGTATAGAGCCCAATTTGGTTACTTATACTGCGATTATGCAAGGATTTTGCAAGAAGGGGAAACTGGAAGAGGCATTTTCAGTGTTTAAGATGGTTGAAGATCTAGGGACTGAAATGGACGAATTTCCCTATGTGATTCTTATTGACGGGGTGTGCAGGAAAGGTGATTATCACCGTGCTCTTAAATTGCTTGATGAAATGGAGCAGAAGGGTGTTAAGCCTAGTGTCATTACATATAATGCCATCATCAATGGATTGTGCAAAGCAGGGAGGACAGCTGAGGCAGATGATGTGTCTAAGGGCATAGTTGGAGATGTTATCACATATAGTACACTGTTACATGGGTATATTCAAGAAAACAATTTCATGGGGATACTAGAAACAAGGAGGAGACTGGAAGCAGCAGATGTGTGCTTGGATGTTGCCATGTGCAATCTGTTGATTAAAGGACTTTTTATGATGGGTTTATTTGAGGATGGGCATTCTATATACAAAAGAATGCAAGAGATAGGTTTGGAGGCGGATGCTGTTACTTACTCTACCATGATTAATGGATACTCTAAAGCTGATCAGATAGATGTGGCACTTGAAATATTTGATCAATTTCGGAAGAAATCAATTTCATCAGATGCATGTCACAATTGCGTTATTCAATGGCTCTGTCGGAAGGGCATGGTTGACATGGCAGTTGAGGTTTTCTTAGAGCTGATAGAAAGAGATTTTGGCTTAAACACTGCAATCTGCAGAATGGTGATTAAAGCCATATTTCAAGACAAAGGGGCTGAAGGAGTTTTGAATTTAATTCACAGATTGGAAAATTTTGCGCATGAGATATTTGATCCTATATGTAATATTGCAATTTGTTTTCTATGCAAAAAGGGTGGATTAGAGGCTGCCTGCAATGTGTTAATAAAATTGGAGAGGAAAGGATCAACTGTGAACAGCAAGTCTTACTATCTAATTCTGAAAGCACTTCTTTTTGATGGAAAAAGTTTGCTGAGTCGGCAAATTTTGACGAATTTTATAAAAAAGTACGGAATGTATGACCTCAGGGTGAACAAGATACTAGTGAGTTTCCTGTGCATGAATGATGTAAACCTTGCCCTTAGCTTTCTTGCTAAGGACTCATTGAATGTTGCACTTCCTGCAGCTCTTTTAAGGACACTAACAAAAAATGGCCAGGTTTTGGATGCCTATAGGCTTATAACTGAAGCAGGAAGTAGTCTGCCTGTCATGGATGTGGCTGATTACTCAATTGTGATTGATGGTCTTTGCAAAGGAGGACAAATTGGTTCAGCACTGAATCTCTGTGATTTTGCGATGAGCAAGGGAGTTACTTTGAATGTTATAACATACAACTCAGTTATAAATGGATTGTGCCGTCAGGGATTTTTCCTTGAAGCTTTTCGGATATTTGGTTCCATGGAGAAGAATGGTATTTATCCTTCAGAAATCACATATGGTACACTCATTGATGCTTTAATAAAAGAGGGTCTTTTACAAGATAGCATTTTGTTGTTTGAGAAGATGTTGTGCAAGAACATTCCTCTAAATATCCATGTATATAACTCGTTAATTAATGTGCATACCAAGCTTGGTGATGTTCAGAATGCTATGGAGCTTCTACATGACATAGAAGCAAAGGGTCTCAAACCAGATGAATTTACAGTCAGTACATTAATTAATGGATATTGCCAAAAAGGTGACATGGAAGGAGCTCTTGGTTTGTTTGCTGAATTTAAAGGGAAAAGCATATCACCTGATTTTCTAGGTTTTATGTACTTGATAAGAGGGCTTTGTGCTAAGGGAAGGATGGAAGAGTCTAGATGCATTTTAAGAGAGATGCTTCAAACTCAATCAGTCACCAATATGCTTGATAGAGTTGAAGCTGAGACTAAAGCCGAGTCTCTAAAAAGTTTCGTTTCTTTGTTGTGTGAACAAGGAAGCATTGATGAGGCTGTTAGTATTCTTAATGAAGTTGGATGCATGTATTTCCCCGTTGATAAGGGACATAGTGCATTTAATAGTATATCAGAAAAACCAAAGGAGCCATGTGATAGGGAAGCTATTGATGCTGTTGAATGCAAGGTTACTATTTCAGAAAGCAAATCATGCAATAATGGGCAACTAGAAATGGATTTGGAAAATGATATTGACCTAGAAGCTAATATCTTCCATTTGGAGAACTTTGGTTCTTACTATTCCTTGATTGCATTATATTGTTCGAAAGGGGAGCTCAATAAAGCAAACATACTGGCAAAAAAAATCACGAGTTTCTTGTAGGAAAACTATTTTTTCAACAAAACTGACTGGCTACCTTGGTAAGGATTGGTGCTGTGATTTGCAGACCTCGGAAGAATGTTACATGTGGCAGTAGGAGGTATGTTCTATGTTCTTTACATAATTTGTTGATAATTTCCTTGTGCTTTCCCATTTTCGTACATTATCACTCTGCTGAATGATTTTCGTAATTGTTAATATGCTCTTGTAAGCTCTTGCAATACTTACTGACTGAATTTCATAGTTCTTGGTCAACCTTTAACCTAACTTGTTGAAATTAAATACAAAAATAGACAGCAAATATGACCCTATTTATTTTTTCATCCAAATCCAACGGTGAGAGCAAAAGGGTCCAACCCATCAAAGTTGAGTGACTAATTCTGTCTTTATTTTTTCATCCAAATCTAACGGCAAGAGCAAAAGGGTCCAACCCATCAAAGTTGAGTGACTAATTCTGTCTATTTATTTTTTCATCCAAATCTAACGGCAAGAGCAAAAGGGTCCAACCCATCAAGGACTAATTCTGTCAAGGACTGACAAAACCTTGCAACTTCAAAGATTTTTGTATTTTTTATTTCTACATTTGCATCTCATTTACCTGCTTATTGAATACCTTTTGCTTCCTTGTACCTGTTTCATCAACTGTTCCTCACCAAAGCTAAGAAAATGCTAAAATTTGGCGATAGAAGAATATATCTGATTATCCTGAGATAAGGTTGCTTGTTGTGCAGTAAGCATTTTAGAAATTATTTTTAGTCATATAGTAAACTTTTTCCACAAAAAAAAACTGGCTTTGCATTACCCATTTTATTTCACAATTTATTTTCTTTTTTAATAAGTAGTACATGCAAATATACTGCCATTCTCATCTATAGATACCATGCTCTTCATGTTTTATTTCAAATATTTTTTATAGTAGCATTGTTTATTGTGCCTTGAAGGAACCGTGAAGTATGTATGCTCGATACCATAATTGTTCCACTCATGAAAGTAGATAGAAGTAAGAACTATAAGGAAGTTCATTGAATTTCCTGTGTGCCATTATTTGTTCTTGTATCAAAATTGTGCTGTGAGCATGCAGGTACGTGTTAGGGAGGGGAATACTATGCCTCTGTAAAATCCTTATAATTGTCATACTATCCTCATCTCCACTTTCAATCCTCATACCTGCATCTTTTCTGTTAAAAAATAACTAAAAGAAATAGTTAATTGACATCTATTCATCTCGTCCAAACATGAATCTCGAACTTATATTTCTATATTAAAATATAGGTGTTTAGGTCCCTAACGCTCACAGCTTCTTCCCTCTTTTTTTCTCTTGTATCTCCATCTATTCTACCTTGATTTCTGTCATTAATAATATTTTAATAGAGAAGTTAACATAGTATGTATGTATGTATGTATGTATGTATGTATGTATTATTATTATTATTTTATTTATTTATTTTTTTTAAAACTTTCAGTCCAATTCTTTATCTATTGAACTATGGAAAACTATACCTTGATTTCTGTCATTTATAATATTTTATATTCTTGGGATTGTCTTCAACTCATTGGAATGATGAATATTTTGTCATAAGAATCCAAAGAATGAATTTTGATTCTAATTGCTTAGAATTGGCAACACTTGTGGTAATATGACTACATATTTGTAAGTCAAATAAATGCAATGATAGGTCATCAAATCTACCAATAGCATCATTAATTTAGCATATAATAACAATAACTGATTTTCATATATTCTCGCAGTTCTTGTGCAGTTTCTTGTTGCAGAAGCCAAGACAACATGAAGCATGGATGGTTCCACTAGATTTTGCTATGGATTCAAACAGCTGCAGACATCTTATGTTCTTCAAAAGAATTACAGAGAGCCCAATTCGAGGTTTAGTTTCATCTCACAATTTTCTTGATTATTTGATTTTATTTTGACCCTGTTTGGTAACATAATTAGCTTATCGACCAATTTTGGCTTATTTGACCACTATTAGGTGTTTGACTTGGTTAAACAAATTAATATGAGTGTTTGATTAATTAGCTTTTTGTAACAGCTTATTGCTCCAAAATGCTAAAATTCAAAAAGCTGCTCAAAGCAGATTTTTCGATCGGCTTTTTGAGAAAGTCATTTTGCATGTAATCAGCTAACAGCTAATTTTCCAAACACTTTTGAGCTGAGCTCGAATAGCTTGAAGCTTGAGATCGAGCTGAGCTCAAGCGCAAAAAATAGAGCTCAGTCAAGCCTCAAGCCTCGATTTTTGAATCCAACTGTGCTTCAAACTTGTACTATTCAGTCTCGTCTCAGCTCGATTGCACTCTTATAAATGATGCTTACTATGTCTCCTTTTATCACGCAATTCTGCAATGCTCTTTTTCATTCCTGATCTTTCTTTGATATGTTTGAAGACAATATCCTCCAAGAAACTCACAAGATGTTGCTACATGAAAAGACAAGATTTGGTTGGGAAGCAATGGATGCCATTGCATGTGAAGCTGCCAAGTGGATTCGGGCCAGAGAGATATATAAGCAGTTGCAGGTTAGACGTACGGCTGGATTTCTTCAGCTTGCTATGATCGAGGGCATCGGGTGAAGATCAAAGATGACAATATATTGATCAAGTAAAAGAGCATGTTACAATTTCGCAATTGATGAAGATGGGCAATGGTTGCTTCAAGGATGGATCCTGAAAATCAGCTTTTGATTTGTGGCTAATTGAGAATTTTGACAGTGAGAAGGGCAAGAGGTGCTTTCTCATTCATTTTTACTTGTGTTGTTTGTTGTAACATATGTTTAAATGTTAAAAACTGAAAGATCATCCCTCAAATCAAGTGGTAGCTAATATTTCTTGCTGTCTATTGAAATCTTCCTTGATCTCCCTTGTAAAAAGATTGTGGTAGATAAAGACTTAAAAAGAGTTTAGTGGGAACACATGGGATTTAATTGAGGTCACGAGGGAAATCCGTAACCACTATCCGAGAGCGTACACTGGTAAATCCTGCCTTGTGACCTTAGTTGACAAAGGATCACAAAGAGATAAATTACTCTAGGTTGTCCATAGACAATTTAATTCTTTTAAAATTTCCATCTTTGCCTTACCTTTGTTCTTAACATCTTGTAACGCTCTGTGGTAATTAGTACTGTTAAAGTGGGCTGGCCCGCCCCACTACAGGCCTAATTTTTGGTGGACTTTTGCAGGGCGGCTTGTGGGGTAGGGTTCATGCAACCCTAGCCCGCTCCGTCCGGGTTGACGGACCTTGCGGGTCGGCCTGTGAATTTTTTTAAAGAAAATAAATTTTTTTAGTTGAATTCAAAGTTTATAAAAATAAATAAAGTCTATAAATATTAACATTGCGAATTTACAATTCAACTTTAATGTCTAACAAAAATTAATATTAGTCCAAAGTTCAAAAAAATAATTAAAGTCTAGAAATAATATTAATTTTTTGTGTTTAAAAATAAAAAACAATTATTTTTAAAAATATTATATATATATATATATATATATATATATATATATATATATATATATATATATGTTACACAACAAGACAACGTACTACCTTGTTGTGTAACATATGTATATTTATTTAGTTATTTATTTATTATGGGTTTGGCCCGCAACCCGCGCAGGTTACGGGTTGATTTCGGCCCGTCTCGTTAGGCTCGTATTTTTGCGAGCCTATTTTTTCATGACCTTAATCCGTCTCATCGCGGAGCGAGTGCGGATTAACCCGCGAGTTTTGGCCCCACTTTAACAGTATTAGTGGTAATAGTGAATTGGGCTAGCACATTGGGAGATCCCCGTAATTGTATGATAATTTTTTCAAATTGCATAAACAAATCTTGTGTGTATTATTTTCTTTTGTGACATTACTTAGAGCATTATCAATAGTTTGATTTTTGTACAAATTTTTAGGCGTTGAGTGTCCGAATAGGAAAGAGGAGGGAGGAAAAAGAAAAAGAAAAAGAAAAAAAGAAAAAAAAAATACAATGAATGACACAGGAAACAGCCAAACAGGCACGAATGACACGCAAAAGAAAATAACAATACATTGAAAAGCCATTAAGGTTTCTTTCTAAATTGTCCCGATCGACATGCAGTTTTTCTTTCGCCTACCTGTTATGACGGCGACACTATAAAAAAAAAATACTTTCTTTTTTTTTTTTTTTTTTTTTAAACAAATTTATTTCATACGATAATTTTAGCTAAATCTTTTAAATTTTGATTATTTTTATATGTAGACAACTAAAATTAAAGTATTATTTTGACTACATGATCTTTTATTTATCAAATTCACGTTAAGTTTAAAATATTTTGGGAAAAGGTATACATAGGCCATTGAACTATTTGGGGATATCAATTAAGCTATCGAACTCGAATAAACTCCAAATTGATTCATGAACTTGTAAAAAAGGTGCAATTAGCATTTTTAGTAGGTTACCAACAAGTTTGTAACGATTAGGATGCCATGTGTATTTTTTATTTATTATTATTATTATTATTATTATTATTATTATTATTATTATTATTATTATTATTATTATTATTATTATTATTATTATTATTATTATTATTATTATTATTATCCTACTTAAGCATTTGATTCAAAAAAAAAAATAGTGTAGTTTTTAATTTAAAAAATTAAAAACTTAACTTTTAATTTAAATAATATATATTACGTAATGTGTGTGTGTGTGTGTGTATATATATATATATATATATATAATCGCACTCAGGTGCGAATGTTTCGCCTAGCCGCCCAGGAACAAAATAGGAATGGATTTTGTCTGTCCACGTGTCCAGATCTAATGGATGAGAAATACTGATTTTTTATAAAAAGCGCAGTGGCATTTTCGTAAATAATTGAACATCGAAGTGCAAGTAAAATGTATTACAAGTGCATGTAAGATGTATTATAGGTGCAAGTAAAAATTTACACCGAGTATCAATACTAAGTGCACCTATAGTTATAAGTAGTTGCAACTATAGTTCTAAGTAGTTGTACAAATAGTTATAAGTAGTTGCACCTAGGTGCATGAATGTTTGCGGGTGGTTTTCAGAGGTATTACTACCCGCTAAACTCAGATCAATGAATGTTAACAAGGCAAAATTACATGCACTTATAGGTGAAAGTAGGTGCACCTATAATTATAAGTAGTTGCACCTAAAGTTATAAATAGTTGCACCTATAGTTATAAGCACACCCAAGTGAATGAATGTTTGCTGGAAGTGAATGCTAACAAGACAAAATTACATGCACTTTTAGGTGAAAGTAGGTGCACTTGTAAGTGATTTTACTTGCACTTCAATGTTCAATTATTTACGAAAATGCCACCGCATTTTTTTAAGCTATTAGATCTTGACACGTGTCGCGCGCTGATTCGTTCGCATATTCCTTTGTGGGCACTTATTCGCACATGAGTGCATCCATATATATATATATATATATATATATATATATATATATATATATAGGGACGGAGCCAGAAATTATGTTGAGGAGGCCAAAGAAGTAGGGCTGGATTCAGTGGTGAATCCGGGAATTTTTTTCGGTGGGAGCAAAAAATTAAAAGAAAAGAGAAATTTTGAAAAAAAAATGAAACACTTAAGTATAACAATAAATATTGTTGGATATAGCGAAAATAAAACATATTAAAATTTTATAAAAATATTTATAACAAAATATGAAACATAATTAATTTGATAAAACAATTCGAATATAAAACACATTATAAATTACACATCCCATTATTAATATAAAGAAAGTTATATATACATCCCATTATTAATATAAAAAAAGTAATATATATATATATATATATATATATATATATATATATATATATATATATATATATATATATATATATATATATATATATATATATATATATATATACTGGTAGGGAATATCCCGACCGACATAGCTTCACCACGACCGAGGAGCCTTTGTCTCTTTCTCCTTGTCTTTGCAGGTAACAGGTCGGGCTCCACGAGAAGAACCCGGTCGTAGATCGACCGGGAGTTGCCCGAGCGACGGTGTCGACCACCGAGCGATAGCCCTTTAGCGAAAGAGCTGACGAAGGACACGTGGCGGCTCTCTACATCAACAGGCAGGGCACCCGGGAGGATGACACGTGGTAGCTACGTGGAGGGCATGCCGAACGGCTGGAATCTTGTCCCCGGCATAGCGGCTATAAATACCCACAGTAGCTACAGTGTAAGGGACTTTTGGACGATCGATAGGTTGTTGTTAGAGAATCCCGACCGCAGTCAGTCGGTACTCAGAGCAACCAAGTAGATTGTACTTAGGGCCTTTACCGGGATCAATAAAGATATTTACTTGCTTTAATTGGTCTCGTGTTGTTATATATTGCTTGCACGTAATTAGCAGTATCATTTTGGCGCCGTCTGTGGGGACCCGTCCAAGAAACCAACGTCTTGACGAGCACCCAATCACTATATCGACATGTATCCGTGGGCACACAACAACTTTGCCGACGACCAGGCGGACGCGGCGAGCTCCTCCGACCACTATGCTACCCAACAGCAGGGTCAGACAATGGACCTCAACCTCAACCTCTCACCACCGCATCCGTCAAATACATACCCGGCCGCCCAGCAGCCGGTGAATTACATACAACCGGGATACCCACCACCCGGTCTGCCATACCAGCAGCAGCCGATGATGTATCCCGCCCAGTATCCGTACCCGGTCCCACCCCCACCGTATGGGTATTGGCCAGGCCAACCGATGTGTTATACTTCCCCGGTTGGTTATCCACCGTATACGCCAGCTTATACAGCTCCAGCCGCCGCCCCTCCAGTACAACCGGCCGCCCAAGTAGAGCCGCAGCGTCAGTCCGTGTCCCGGGCTCGACGCTCGGCTCATTCGCGGTTGGGGTCGGGGGGTGCTGATGCGATGGAGGCACCAGCTCAGGCCGTTCAAGCGGAGGACCCTGAAGAAGTTGCCCGAGCGGTAGCTTTTGATCGTCTTCGACCGGAGATGCGCCAACGTTTGGGACCCCAAGACCCGGACCGCGGGCACGAAGACGTACAAATGCAGGAAGCTAGCCACGAGGCTTCATCCGGGTACAGCGGGTCGAGATCTCACCGGCGGCGACGCGCTCGGGATACAGCCCAAGCCGCTCAAGCCGCCGAGCTCAACGAAACCCGGGGACTACTCTATAACCTCCAGGCGGAAGTTGCGCAGCACAGGAATGCGTACCCTGGAACTCCCCCGGTCAACCAATCAACCTTGCACCAGACGCCTTTCACAGCAGCGGTAATGGCCCAGCCTTACCCGCTCGACTTAAAGGTCTCTGGAGAGAAGAGTTATGACGGACGGGCAGATCCTGAGGCCCACGTGAATGATTTTTTCAGCAACATGATGCTGAAGGGCGTTTCGGACGCCGTGATGTGCCGAGCCTTTTACTCGACCCTCACCGGTCGGGCAGCAGAGTGGTTCCGTACCCTGCCCCCGGGGTCGATCGACAAATTTGAGACCCTGGCGATCAAATTTGTGAGGAAGTTCATCACTTCCAAAGTGGTGAGGAAGTCCTACATGTATCTCGAGAAGGCCAAGCAATTAGAAGGGGAAAGCTTGACCGATTTCCTCATCAAGTGGAAAGCATCGGTCGGGGAGGTCGAGCCTATGGACGATGCAACCGCCACCCACATGCTTCACATATCTCTCCGGGCGGGACATTTGTACCAGGACTTCATCCTACACCCCCCGACCACTTACGAGGAGGCCCTTCGGAGGGTCACAGACTATGCTAACGCCGGCGAGGCGAATGCCGTCAAGCGCTTGCAGGAGGTTGGCTCTTCGTCCCGTAAACCGGCCGGGCGGGCGGAACATAGG